TGTTTTAGGATTTTGAATAGTGAGAACCAGCTCAGTGTCAGAAAGCTGAACATCCTGCAAAAGCAAGCCCCTGGGGGCCCTTCCCTGTGCTGACTCCAGCACCACTTCGCCAACACGCAGTGCAACAAAAAATGCTATTGAAAAAGCTGCCGAAAAGAGTCTCACCTCATAAATGGACCAGCAGACAAGTCTTAACTTGCTGTGCATCAAGAATAAAATGTCAAATGTGACCGGCGACTTCAGTGGCTGCAACCTGGCCCAAACTTTGCACAAGGGTCTCTAGAATAAAGATGAATTGATTGTGAAACCACTCTAGGAATCACAGCTAGAGGTCTAGAGGGGAATAGAGGTCTCCTAACTACTTTTAGGACGCGGGTGGCGCTGTGGGTAAAACCTCAGTGCCTAGGACTTGCTGATCGTAAGGTCGGCGGTTCGAATCCCCGCGGCAGGGTGAGCTCCCGTCGTTCGGTCCCAGCTCCTGCCCACCTAGCAGTTCGAAAGCACCTCTAAGTGCAAGTAGATAAATAGGTACCGCTTTATAGTGGGAAGGTAAATGGCGTTTCCGTGTGCTGCGCTGGTGCTGGCTCACCAGAGCAGCTTCGTCACGCTGGCCACGTGACCCGGAAGTGTCTTCGGACAGTGCCGGCTCCCGGCCTCTTGAATGAGATGAGCGCACAACCCTAGAGTCGGTCACAACTGGCCCGTATGGGCAGGGGTACCTTTACCTTTACCTTTTTAACTACTTTTAGCACTCATAACAAACCACCATTGCCAGAATTCTTTGTGGGAAACCATGACTATTTATAAGTGGTATGGTGCTGTTTTAGATGCAGATGGGACCATAGTGAACAAGATCTTTTCCCAGATCAAAAGGTTCATATTTCCTTTGAGAAACAGAGGGACCACTCCCTTCCACAGGAAGAAAGAATACTTACAATAAATATGTTTGAAAATGGGCTGCATGAAATTGATGTACTGCTGAAACACTGTGCTGCATACTAATATCAATCAAGCTTTGATTTATGTGATTTATTGTCATTTTCTCTTTCTGAAATCAAGTTACAGTCATTCAGCTCTCAAATGCAATTTACACACCAAGAATGTAACCTGCATGGCTGTTAGCTATGATGTTAAACAACTTAAAAGGCATTTTTTCAATAGTAAACTAGACTAGCTCAGCCCACTAGGCAGTGTAGGGCTGGTCCTGCCACTAGGCTGGGTGAAGCAAGTGCCTCGGGAGGCATATGCTAGGAGGCAGCACCGGCAGGGAGACTCTCCTTCTGCTTCTCCTCTCCTCCCTTGGTGGAGGGTGAAGAAATGCCAGCTTGGCACCTGGAGGCCCCTCAGCTGGGCAGCCAAGGCACTCGGCAAGCCTGCACAACACTTCACTGCCTCCCCCAGCCAGCCTTGCTCTCTCAACTCGGAGAGCCAAAGTGTGGAGGGAACTCTTGATTCCCTCAAGATGGTGGCAAAAAGCAGAGGAATAAATGGTGAGGGAAAGACGGCATGTAGAAACCTGAAATTTATCACACTATGGTTCACTCATGCTAGCAGTCATAAATCGAGCTATTTTTCCTAGGTTTTTTTGCTGTTCAAACAATTTTCTTAGCAACCTTTGATTCTCTTTCCCATATATTTCTCTTTATTTCCCATGGAATTGTCAGCTGAACTGTTGGATCCATGGTATTTTGGGTATATGGCTTTTTCTCCTCTAACGTGAGTGTACTTGCCTCACCCAGAGAAGAAAGATGAAGCAAATTCTGGAAACAGAAGACAAGAAGGCTGGGGGCGGGGGGCGGCAGAGATAATACATTTTTATTAATGTGCAGGGGAAGATGAGATCAAAGAGCATGGCATGTTGTTCTAGGTTCATATATATTTTGAACATCATGTAATAATGTTCCTCGTATAAGTACAGTGTTATAGCTGCTGGCAAAGGATTCCTGTGAAAGGCACAAAACAGCCCATAACGATTGGCTAATGTCTTTGTGGAAGCTTATTGTCAGGAGATTATTTCTAGATAATTGAAGATATTGTTAATATTTGAAGGTGGTAGCCATAAGAGCTTGGAGATGGTAAAACACACTCCATTTTAAGGGGTGAGTCTGATCTGTGGGAGGGGTGCTTCCATATGTGAAGAAAGAGTAGTTTGCAATTTGGATTAGACAGAGGCAGTGAAAGATTAGAGTTGGCTAAAGGCAATTTAGGGTGCAGGGTCTCTCTCTCCTCTCTCTTTTATCTCTGGGGATCTCGTATGAAGTAGTATTTCCACTGTATTGCAGGAGTGCCTCTTTGCCTACACTCAGATGTCTGCAAATCGGGTCCTCCTTTAAAGAGGAAACTTGTTGCGGTGGGACCTGGCAACCTAACACTCGATTGGTAGGTCTCTTGATGCAGGGTTCAATCAGGCCAATGGTACGCAGGCTAAACGGATCAAGGGACCTATATATACCCATGCACGTGACCCAGAGCTTCCTCTTTTGGCGTGTGCATTCAGAACACTTGCCCACCTCTCCCTACTTTTAGGGCTTTGCGCTTGACCTTGCTATGCTGTCTTGTGTCATCTGTCGTTGGCACAGGGACACGGCAGGAATTTTCTCCACTTAGCTGATTGGCTGATGCCATTTGGGTTTCGCCTGCCACGTAGCAAATCGTCACAACTTGTAAGGTTGTGGATAGGCTCTGGTTCAGGTGATAGGGATGGGAGAACGCTCTCGCCATCCCTATGTGAAGGGTATTCCATTAAAGGAATCCAGGGACTCAATGGTTTGGTCAATCCCTGAGAGGGGGTTGTGCCCGTGCTTTATGGCTTAGGTCCAGGGGGGCATTTGGGTGGCGGAGATAGCCTGTTCCCAGCTTTCCGCTTATCCAGGTATTCACCCTAGGCTGACCTATGCTGGTGCCCTGGGTCAGCGCTCCCTCCAACGGTGCAGGGAGCTAGTCAAACCAGAGCCTATGCAACCATTCATTTGCTGTAAATCAATAAAGTTGTTTAAAGGTCTCAACACAAAAATATTTGCCAAATCTATGGGCCTCTATTCAGTCATGACATCTTTGATGCAGCTTATCATTCCTTCCTACTTTTATGGCTTAGGTCTCCATAATTATGTCCTAACTGTCTTCCAGTGTCTCCATTGAGAAAGGACAAGCTTCCACTGCTTTTCCTTTTTCCACTGGGGTTTGAGATTTTTTTTTAGTCCTCATGAAAATCCACACACATGTTCATTTTTGCAAGCAGTTTACCATAATTTTATTGCCTTTAGTACATTATTTTCATTGATTAATGCATTTTTTGTATTTACTTTCTCCTAGTACATTGTCAGGGACTGGCTGGATGATGAAGAGTGCTGGGTGACACTAGCCCAAGAGCCCCCCAGGGATGACACAGGGAAAGAAGACCCAGGACAATGGTGGTGGGGCACTGAGGACCAGAGTATAGATTGGACAAGATGGGAGATGATAGAAGCAAAAGGTTAGAGTGAACATGGGCGGTCAGAAATAGAGAGCCGTTCGAGGACAGAGCTGGGTGCTGAGGGTCTCTATGTGAGTGCAGATTCTGACATAGAGGAGTCAGAGGCTGCCTCAGTTTCACAGCAACTGGACAATCCCTCTACAGCTTACTCTCCTCCTCCATTGACACCCAGATCACGAAGAGCCTTGCATGTTGCTGAGTAACTGGCCAGACAGGCCCAGAGGGGGATCCCTCCCTCTCCCTGGAGTTTATGGCTGCTTGAGAGGTGTCCAGAAGGAGAGGACTAGAGAGGGAAGGAGGACTAGATGCCAGTCCCAGCAACATCTTCAGCTGGGACAGAATAGCCTAGATGTACTCTGTTGTGTTGCTATTTTTGTGAATAAAAGTTAATTGCACTTCGAGTCTTGAGTCCTCTTCCTGATCTGTGCATGAACTGGCCTTCCTGACAGCCCCTTGACATATATGAATTTTTATACAGAATTTGTGGTTGGGGAAGAGCAACCAGAGATGCTAATAATTTTGGGAGCAGAGTGCAGGATGGATGTGAATGGAGGAAGGTGCGACAGAGGAAATGATTGCAAAAGGAGGATCATCCTGAGATTGTCTTCAGCTGGCCTACAGAATTTGTGACCTCAAAATCCAAAGCAGTTTGTCTCCAGTCATATATTGTGTTATGGCAGATTTTATATCCAGAAGCTATGTTAGTCCTTAGCACTTTACAGCTTGTTTAAGTTTGTTAAGCTGGTCAATAAAATATATGAATCTGTGTTGGCTGTTCCACACATTCCAGTTATTAAGTAATTACTGCAGTTATTGTGTGGGAAACCAAAGGCATGAGTAAATTGAAGCTTGGCACTATTTGCTGACGCACCAGTGTTCTCTTTTTATTTTATCAGTTAATTTTTGTTTATTTAAATTATGCCACTGACAAAATTGGTGCCACACAGAGAGCTCTTATGTGGTGGTGGTGGTATTTTGTGGGGAGGGGGGAATATTACATAGCCCCAAACTCGAAAGATAATCAATGAATATATGGAGTGGTTTTCTTTGTTCGTAAAAGAATTTCTCCAAGGAAGACACCATATCAAAGGAAGCAGCTACTCAAACGTCAAAGCCCAGAAGCTGTGTTTAGAATAGACTCCAGTATTTAATATTAAAGGCCTTTCCTTAAGGCAATGTTTGTATGCCGGACTCAGAAATGCCACACAAAAACCGAGGTCTGGTAAACATAGCAACTTGTTAGTTTAGCCAGCAAACACCTGCAGTAAAAAAGAGAAGAGATCCACATTTCTTTTCAGAAATGTGAAAGTGCTACAAAATACCATCTGCATATATAAAAGCCAGTTCCAAGTGCAAGTGAGGAACCTTTTTCAGATCCAGAATTGACCCACACTCTACAAGCCTTTTTTTGATGTTGGGGTCACCCATGTCACTATAGTATCCAGTGACTACTTAAAGGGGGTTCACTGTCAGCACTGGTCAGCTGATCAACCTACACCTGAAAAGGGAAATTTAACCTTGTCTTACTGCCATTACTGTGGATAGGTCAGTCGGTAAAACCCAAGACTCTTAATCTCAGGGTCATGGGTTTGAGCCCCACATTGGGCAAAAGATTCCTGCATTGCAGCGGGTTGGTATAGATGACCCTCATGGTCCCTTCCGACTCTACAATTCTATGATTCTATAATTCTTTGACACACTGGGCTAATAGGAATTGGGGAGGAGAGCAGTGGGCACAATCCTCTCTCTGGAAGCTAGCACATTTGCGCAGTCCTGGTAAGTCATGTTTTGGCTTACTATAAAGCGTGTTCTCCATATTAGAGAGCACGTGTTGCAGTGGGGGCCAAAAAGGCCACCCCACTGTTGTTGGGCAGATTGGCCACATGCTGTGATTGGGCAAGAAGTGTTGTTGGGGAGATTGTTATGTTGCTAAAGTGTGGGAGGGGTCAGAGGTCTTAAATGCAGGGCTCGCAGCCTGGGGCCTTCTCTTGGGTTGCGTGCACGGATCACCCGCCCACCCTCCCTGAAAGGGGGGGGGGTTGTTGTCCTCTGACCTTGCTATGCCTGTCATGGGGTCGTCTGCTTTGAGGCAAGGGCCTGGTAGGAATTTTGTCCATTTGGCTGATTGGCTGTTGCCATTTGGTTTTTGCCTACTGCGTAGCAAATCGTCACAACTTGTAAGGTTGGCGGTTAGGCATTGGTTAAAATTAGTTGGTGGAGGGGTAAGTGCCTACCTCTCCAATGGTGGTGCTGAAAAGGAATTCTGTTAAAGGAACCCAGGGGCTTGCCATCCCTTTCGTCCTAGTCCCTGGCATCGGTCTTGGGCCGTGCAAGCCCCAGGGGGCATGTGGGTGAGAGATGAGGGACTGATGCTCAGCTTCATTTCTCCCCATATGGTTCTCCCTGACTGGCTTCTGCTGGAATCCGGAAGTCAGTTCTGTCCCTGGGGCAAGGACAGATAGTCGTAACCAATGCCTAAGCAACCACTTACGTGTGTGTATTTAAATAAAGTTGTGGCCAAATTCATGCCAAAAACCTTAAACAAAAATTGATATGTGAAGTGTGAGTTATTGGGGTGGCCTGGGGGACCTCGACACGCAACATGCAAACCATGTTAATAGATCTGTCAAAGCTAGACATTGGTATGTTAACAGTTTTGAGCATACATTATATATAGGCTCAACTTCAAATTAATGATTAAAAATAGGTTTTAGCTATAGGCAAAAATGTTATGTTTGGAATTTTTTAGTATCTGGAGGTACTTTCTGTTACAACAGAATAGCCACATTATTTAAAAAAGCTGTATGGAGCAGCTCCGAAGAATTTCAGTCCTTTTTTTGAAGCATAGCAAACGTAACAAAGTGTTGCATCCTTGGTAGAGCACTGTTTGTAATTTGTCAGGGATGCCATCAATTATCACAGTAATCGCTCTGCTGACAACTGACATAAGATTTAAACAGATGAAAGGAGGGAAGAAGAAACAATGCCCATTTTTGTCTTGAATCAATTTTTCAGCTATTTTTGCTTGGTATGATAATTATACTTGGCTAATTAATATCTGAAGAAATAAGCTGATGACTGTGTTCAGCTGAAAGGCTTCCCCATGTAAAGATGTTATATATATATATATATATATATATATATATATATATATATATCCATATCCCACCCTTCACCATAAAGTCCCAGCTAAACTGTCCACACAGCTAGAAATACAACCAGAGAAGCTTTGGAGTCAAAGGTACTTTGTCCTAAGTAGCTGGACGAGGTTTGGGGAGAATTTGACTAGGATGGAGGTTTAGGGAATTTGGCTCAGTCTTAGAGACTGGTGTCATAAACTTTTCAGTCTTTAGAAACTGGCATCATGCAAATATAAGTAAGCATCAGTATTTCCTTATAAACAAACTATATTTTAAACAAACAATCTTCATAGTTAATTCGTTATCCAGTTTGGGGGTCAGTCTCACACCAAGCTACTGGGAGATTAGGTAGCAGTGGAAAAGGATCACATTGAGGAACAAGAGTTTTACAGCACGGGAATTCCATAGATCCAGAAATACAAACAACAAATACCTAAACTTTTTTTTTTTTTACTTTTCAAAGCCTATATCACTTAATTTATTTATTATTAATGTTGCAATACATATATGAAATCTTTACATATTGATACATAGACATTATATTCGTAAATTCACATTTTCACATTTCATTATGTACCAACATTTATCCATTTCTTATTTCTTGCCCTGTGTCTTCCCTCCACCCATGCGTGACTTCCTTGTTATTATTATGTAATTTTATTATTGAGATTGTAATTTTGTATCTTAATAATTAAACATTCAATCTTATATATCTGCTTAGCTTAGCTTAATTTAACTTAATTTAACTTTGTGAAATCAGTCTATGCATATCAATAAATTCTTGTTGGAGCATCTTTTGGTCATGTATTCTTTACACATTTCCATTCCTGTTTGAAATTTTGATTAGATTGCATTCTAATTGTTGCCGTCATTTTTGCTAATTCCATCATTTCAAAAAAATTATTTTGCCAATCTTTCGATGTTGGTACTTCTTCTGATTTCCAATTTTTTGCAAATACCTAAACTTTTATTTATAAAAAGTGGAACTGAAGTAATGAAGGTGGAATCCAAAAGATGAAATGTAGTAATCAGTTTTTCACTTGCACTTTCATTGACTAAGTACATGCAGAGGTGGAGGAAGCCGCTAAGGCACCTGGGGCGGCACGCACTGCCCATAGGGAGGGGGCGCACCGCGGGGCCTCCGGAGTCTGCCTGCCTCCTCTCACTCAGCCGCTCTACAGCTGGGGGAGAGGCAGTGGGTGGACCGTTTGGGTAGCCCGGAGCCTGTGTGAGCCGAAGACACCGCGTATCTCCCAGGAGAGACGCATGGTGTGGGCATGCTGAAGGCCCCGTGGTAAGTGTCGCCCGGCATTTTGTCACCCCCCTCAGTGGTGACACCCGGGGCAACCCACATCTACTGCATCCCCCGAGTACATGTGTGTACCAGCCACAAGAAAGAGGTGAAATTTCTAAATACCCTAAATGGCTGTGCCCTAGAAAAATTGGTCATGGAACTGACCAAAGGGACAGCAATCCTGGACTTAATATTGAGTGGAAGCCAGGATCTGGTGCAAGGTGTAAGTGTTCGCTGGACCAATTGGGAACAGCTCCCACAGTGCTATCAGATTCAATATATATGTACATGGACAACTGCTAAGAAAATCCAACATAGTCACATTTGAGTTCAAAAGTGGAAACGTACCAAAAGTGAGAGGACTGGTGTAAAGGATATTGACTTGAAGAATGTCAAATCTCTCCAAAATGCTTGTGAGTTGTTTAAAAAGCTCAATATAAAAACTCGACTAGAATGTGCATCACAGGTACCACCAAAGCCAGAACAGTTACTGAGCAGGGTCAAATAAGCAATTAGACGCAAGAAGGCATCCTTTAGAAAATGGGAGCCATGTCCAACTTAGAACAAACTTTGGCAAAAGTAATAAAAGCAGATAACAGGGATGTTTAACAAGAATTAGAATAGTATTGGAGTGGGGGCGGAGGAAAGAGATCTTCTGAGGAGAGAATAATGGAGACCTGGGGAAGCATTTATAATGTCTGGCTGCATGGGGGAGCAGGTGGACAGCCAGGTACAGATGGCTAATATTAAAAGCAGCTGCAATTTTACCAAAATCAAACAACATCTGCTTGGAAACAAACATACTGAGAGCAAGGCAGCAGCAAAAACTCAGGTTTCTCCTGCATTTGCTGGAAGCTGTCAGACTCTTAGACCCACCAAAATCCCACCAGTTATTAGTGCTTATTTAAGTAAAACATTAAAAAGAAACCCTACAAATGGCCACCTCACTTGACACAATGGCATTTCCTTTGCTTGATTTTAAATGGAAACACTTCTTTTCCTCCTTTTTTTGCACCATGACAGTCCGTGGCCGAAAAGAATCTAAAATATTTTGACATATTAGTATTTCTAAAAATATTCCCCCTTAAAGTTTGTGTAAATCCTCTGTTTGCCATGTGGATCTCGTTTTGTTTTGTTTCTTGTGGCGGAAAGTTAATGAAAATTTAATCACCCCAAAGTGCACTCAGAATGAAAACTGGTAGGAGGCACGCGGTTCTGACCTCCTGCATTGTGTCATGTTGTTTTAAATCACTTGCCACATTTATTTGGAAAAATATGAAGTGACACGTTGAAATGGGATGCATAAAAACTTCTCAGTATTCAAGAGATCATGCCGTAATTGTGAAAGACACACTATCTGAGAAAACTCAAGCCATTTTAGCACTCTTTGCAAATGTCTATAAATAATACATTAATAAAATACTTTAGAAGACAAAGTGCTCCTAGCAACAACAAGAAAAGTTTAGAATTGTTCTTGTCTTTAGTTACACTACTAAGTAAAGTACTGAGAGCAGAGAACTCTCTCTGTTCCTTCATTCCCTTCAGTCAGTTTCCCCGCATATACCCCAGTCGTGACAATTTAAAGGGTATTATGAAACTGTTTAACAAGCACACTTTTCAAGCAATGACGAAAGACTTCAGGGCAAGTGTATGTAATCATCCTGAAAATGCTAAATAAGGCATTCTACAACTTAAAAAAAAGCCCTCTTAAACACAACCTTGCAATTCAGAAGATTTGCTAGTGTTATCAACATGTACCTGTCAACTTTACAGTGGCCTCTAGGGCATCTCCTTCCAGGCTGGGTAAGTTAATGGTTCAGTTAAACCACTGCACATTTAATTATGAACTTTTCATTTCCCCCATGTATCTATATTACAGGTGCCACTAATCCCATGCCAGTGTTATATTCCTTTCAACAGAGTGCCAAGAGTTAGGAGCATATTTTATATATGAAATTGTGATTGTTATAACACTGGACCACTGAAGAAGACCAATTTGCAATCAAAATGTTTTTCGCATTTGTTACATACAACAAATTTCACCAACTTTATAATAATTTTTATACTCACAGCTATAAACTTTGTTTTATAAAGTTGAAAGGTGTGTGTTTGTGAATGCAGTTTTCCCCCCTGTCCAGTGTGATCCAAAAGAAGGTGAATCAGGAAGCAGGTGA